CTTTTCTCAATTACCCAAGCTTATACTAATTATTGTAGTATAGCAAATTTTTTATCAAATCCAAATGTCTTAGATAGATACCATTAGAAATGCAATAGACGTATTAAGTCAAGCCAAAGCATAGAAGCGAGTGTTTAAAACTAGCAACATAATAGATTAAGTGAACCAAAGAGAACCAAAGACTAAGCAAGATTAATGAAAGCAATACTTCAGCAATGATCAAATGCAAAACAGAGCAAAGCAAATTTCGAAATTCAATAATAAAAATCAAGTATCCTAGATGTGGTTATGGAGTTTGGGGAACTCATAGGTAAGACTAAGTTGTTATCAATCTCATTAACAGTGCAAACAAGCAAGTAATGCTAATTCCTAGGCATATAATTCACAATCAAGCAAGCTAAACCCAATCTCTTGGTGAACAACACTTTGCTAAACATTCTAACAAGAACTAATTCCCATTAGTGCTAGAATCAATAGCAAGCAAGCATAAACCAATTCTATTCAAGCTAAAATACTTCTTAGACAGTCAATCCCTTGAGCTAAGACAAGTAAATCCTCTAAAAGACAAGATCAGCATTTATCCAAACATTTGGTGGGCATAAGAGAAAACCAAAATCTAGATTCATGTGATCAAAAAAAATCTAGTCACAAAACAGTCTAATAGTGAGGAATCAATCAATATTAAGCACTAATAAACCCTAATCATGCCTTAAATTCCCCCAATTTACCACCTCTAAGAACCTATGGAAGACTACTCACTAATCATCATCAAAACCATCAAATCCATAAGGATTAAGGAGTTAAACATGATTAAAAATAAGGATTAAGATTGCAAATACAAAAACTTAGATTAAAGGAAGGATCTTGTTCTTACAAACACCAGAAAAATATTAAGAGACAAAAGCAAGAACAAGACTTGCTAAAACCCTTAGGTCCAAAAGTATTTATACTAAGTGACAAAAACCCTAAAGCAATGGCATTCTTGTAAAAAAATGAGGCTCGGATTTGGTGGATGTCGAGCTAGGAGGTCGACATTGGCGCACGACATTGCTTCTTTGGATGCTTGATATCCTGCTGGCCTGGGGGACATCAGAGCTCGATGTGATTCTTGGTGGTCTCGGGCCAAAGATGTCGTGCGATATACAGGCACGACATCAGTGTCATGTCTCTCCATATCGTGTCAGCTTGCTCGACATCAATGCTTGATGTAAACTCCTTTCTTCTTGGGAAGAAGACGTCGCGCGATGTAGCTTGTGCTGAGCTTGACATGGATCCAAAAGTCTACTTCCTTAGCTCCTCCTGATCCTCCTTGGCTGGGGCAGCCCCCTGAATCATTCTGATGCTTCCTCCTTGTCTTTAATGGCTCCTTAGGTACCTTAAAACCTAAATGCAACCTAAGTCTAAAAACAAAGAAAAATGGGACAACAGAGAAGGAAAACATGCAAGAGAAGACTAAAACATGAACTAAATGCAAGCCCAAATGATTTAAATATGAGAGATATCAATGCAGTATTGAAGATAACTAAAGAGCTGCAAGGGACGATCATTCTTTCACATAAGTGTAGTGCTATTATTCAAAGAAAAGAAGAACCAAGGAAACTGGGAGATCCATGAAGCTTTACTCTCCCTTGTTCTTTAGGTCCTCTTGCCTTTAACAACTGCTTATGTGATCTTGGAGCTAGTGTTACTCTGCTGCCGCTCTCCGTTTCTAAGCGTCTGGGGTTCACGAGTTTTAAAGAATGCATAATCTCCTTGGTATTGGCAGATCGCTTCAGAAGACTGCCAATAGGTTTGTTTGGAGACTTACCCTTAAGGATTGGAAATGCTGAGGTTCCTAAAGACTTTGTGGTTCTACAGATGGATGAAGAGCCAAAGGACCCCCTCATCTTAGGGATGTCTTTCCTAGCTATAGCTGGTGCTGTTATAGATGTGAATTATGGCAAGATTAATCTTCATTTGGGGAAGCAGATTGTGCTTAAGTTTGACATCAACAAGGTTATGAAGAAGCCAACCATTGAGGGACAACTTTTCAAGATTGAAGCAATGGACAAGCTTGCTGATGAGATGTTGGAAGAACATACTTTAGGAGATCATCTTCGAGTAGCCTTGACAAAAGAGCATGGAAAAGATGGTTATCTGCAGGATGAGACCGTAGCCTACATGAAGCTGCTTGATTCATGTAGAGAGATCAATAACAATATCACATATATGTAGTTGGATGGCCCACAAGAGGAGGTACACGCACTAGCAGCAAAGAGTGCCACCGAGGATGTTGATCACAAGGCTGGGTCTAGCTTTGACGGAGACTGGTGCAAATTGAAGGCACCAAAGGTGGAGCTCAAGCCACTTCCATAAGGGCTAAGGTATGCATTTATAAGTCCCAACTCTTCTTATCATGTGTTTGTGAATGAAAAATTGAGTAGTGATGAATTATCCTCAATCCTTGAGGAGTTAAGAAAGTTCAGGAGAGCCATTAGTTAATCTTTGGATGATATCAAGGGAATATCTCCTGCTCTTTGTACTCATAGGATCCACTTAAAAGATAAATCAATGCTTTTATAGAACGTCAAAGAAGGTGAAACCCAAAATTGAAAGAGATTCTTAAGCTTGTCGATGCTGGTGTTATCTATCTTATTTCTGATAGTACATAGGTTTCACCAGTTCATGTGGTACCTCAAAAGGGACGAATCACTGTTATAAAAATGAAAGAGATGAGTTAATACCATAAAAACCATATTATATCACTGCACAACATTTCTGAATGCACCAAGCACACGCACCGACCTGGTCCATTCCTTCCCTGCGTGGTGTGGCTAATCCGAGGGTTAACTATTTTGTTGACTAAGTTTATTTTAGCTGACAAAGCTATTTTTGACCCTCTCCTATAAATAGGCTAAGCCTTAAAACATCTATATTATCCAAGTCTTATTTTTCCTAAGCATTAAACTCTCTCTTTTGTATTTCTTTGAAGAACGAGTTGATCTTGGATCAATTTAATAAAGTTTTGTTCTTGTCTTAATTTGTTTATCATCCTCTAATCATGTTTAGCCATATTCTTATGGTTCTAACCATGGCTAGTGAGTAGTTTCCTTGGATCTTAAGATGGGGTAGCTAGAGTGATTTGATGATTGATTATTGGTGTCTTATGTTTAATTCTTCCATTTCCTTACTTGTTTGATGATCTTAATGCTTAATTTGTCTTGGGAAAGGTATTCTTGATTATATGAATTTTGATGCATTACAAGTGTTTGTTGAAATTCCTGAGTTAGTTGAATAAGTGATTTGCATGCGTAGCCTAAGGGATTAGTTGTCTAAGGTGCTTATTGGATCTATAGAACTGAAACCTAATGCTTGCTAATTGTTTTTTTACCATTGACTGTGGGTTAGAAGTATGATTAGTCAAATGGATTATTGTCATGGGAGTGAATTAATCTTGTCTTGATGTTATATGTCTAAGGATTAGCATTGTATTGTTGTTTGAGCACTATTGATTATTCAAGAAATCACCTTAGAGCCAATTTCACCCATCTTGAGACCATTGCGTTTTATTGCTTAAAGTTATCTCTATTGCTCTGTTTTGTATGTTCTGAAATTGATCTTGTTTGGTTTAGTTTCTTGTCTAAGGATTGCTCTTAGTTCACTATCTTAATTACTTGTTTCCATTTGCTTCATTGTTAAGTGTAAGCCCTTTAAAAATCATTTTAGGCTTAGCTAAACAACTTCTCCATCTTCTCTACACTATCTCCATGAAAGATTGATAACCTCTTGTGCTACGATGACATGATTTTAGATTTGAGATATTGAGTCACAAGACATAAAAAGTCTTGTATCATGAATCACCTGATTTACTTATGTTTAAAGAAGGGTCAACATATAACTTTCAGTTAGAGTCCATGTTGAAGGAGTGTAATGCATTGTTAATACGCCTCAAAGAACATCTTAGGGTGGCTCAAGATAGAATGAATGACAATGCAGATAAACATCGAAGATAATTTGAGTTTGGGGTAGGTGATATAGTGGTTCTCAAATTATATCCATACTGACAACAATCCATCTCTAAACGTATCTGTCAAAAATTGGTTGTAAGGTACTATGATCTATTTGAGTGTTATCTAAACCTAATGCTGTGGCATACATGCTTAAACTTTCATCAGATTCAAAAATCCACAACGTTTTTCACATGTCTCAATTGAAACCAATGTTGGGTGCTAATCTTGAAGTATGTCCTCTGCCAACTTGATTTGTGGCTGAAAAAGATTTGGTTATTGAATCACAAGTGTTTCAGAGTCTTTGATGAGTTTAGGACCATGAGCGCTCATGGTCCGAGTTTTTGACTTGGTTAAGCAATTTCTACATATGTCGCTTGAGGATAATCATCGTTTTGTCGAGGGAGTGTTGCTAAGCCGTTAAAAGTATATATAAGAATAAGATTCGAGAATATTTTGTTACAGTTTGTGTATAGAATAGTTTAGTTTTCAGTTGTTAATCGTCTAGAGATTGGATCAGGATTTAGGGGAGATCTTGTTCCCTGCTAATTTGGCAATCGTCAAGTGTGTACACTTGCGATTGAAGGTGATCTCATCGGAGAGTCTGTCACATATCAAACTTGTTTGTTGAGTGGAATAAACGATTTGTCCACTTAGCAGTTGTCTTCTTGGCACTAAATTTATATAAATAGAAGATGTGGTACTAACGTCATTAATCAAACACAATGTTAACAGTATTCTTATTTGCTCTAAACAAGAGAGATTCATATACTTTTGGCTTGTGCTTCTTAAGACTTCACCAATCTCTTCATATCTATATACTTTTTGAAGAACCCACATGGCCCTTTCTAAAAGGTTATCTTGGATCCAAGGGGTAATCATTTTCAATGAGGGAACTAGAATTTGCAATGAACCATTCAGTGCCAGCTTGAAGATAGTTAAAATCATCTGTCAACATCTCCTCCTTTTGCCCCTCTTCCCATTTTTCAGCTAAACCATCTCCTTGAAGCATTCTCACCACTTCAGACATTCAAATGAAGAGCTTTGAGTACAGAGCAGAGCCATTTGAATTAGCTGCTCCACTTCCTTTTCCACAAAGTTTCCTTCAAGCTCTGCATCCATAAGACTTTCCAACTTATTCTCTTTCAAAAACTCTTTCATATAATCACCCATAAAACAAACACTTTTTGCTCTAAAGCTGACAATTTTGGACACATCAAGATGAAAGGGAAAACCATTAAAACATACCCAGTCAAGTAACATGATATCATCATGATTTTCAAGCCGAACAAGATCAAAAGCCTTCTGTTCAGTGATGAGCTCTAGAAGCATGACTCCATATCCAAAAACATCAGTTTTCTCAGACGATTTCCCAGTCGAAAGGTACTCAGTTGCTATATGACCAATCATACCACATACAGAAGTTGTCACATGAGAGTCATTATCATTCATGAGCTTTGCAAGCCCAAAATCTCCAACCACGACTTCAAACTGTTCATCTAACAATATATTAGCAGCTTTCATGTCCGTGTGAATGATCTTTTGGTCGCAATGATCACGTAAATACGCAAGCCCCATTGCTGCTCCCAGAGCAATATGCTTTCTTTTTAGCCAATCAAGTGCTGGATTGCCTTCAGGACGTTCTAAACAAGAAAAACCAAAGATACTTACCAATCGGCACAGTTTAAGACCCGCATGTGGTACGTAATATACAATCGAAGGAGAAATAACATTTATAACAGAGAGTGAGGTACCTCTTAAACAAGAAGCAACACTTCCATTAGCCATGTAAGGATAAAGGAGCAATCTCTCAGTTGGAGTCATGAAAAATCCACGAAGCCAAAGCAAGTTCCTATGAACGGCCATACTAATCATCTCAACCTTGGTTTGAAACTGCAGTTCCCCACCCTTGTTAACCTCTTCTTTTAGCCTTTTCACAGCCACTAGAGAGCCATCAGCTAAATGTCCTTTGTACACTTCACCAAAACCGCCTCTTCCCAATACATTTTTATTGCTAAAGTTATCTGTAGCAACTAGCAGTTCACGCAATAATAACCTTTTGAGTTGTCCAAAGTTAACCTCAGGGTCTTCCTCGGCTGCAAAACAAATAAAGATAAACCAAAGAAGCTTCAACGGGAAAAGAGAAGAAGATAGTTGACCAACCAGGTACATCACAAAACCGGTCCTGTGATTTACTTCTCAGCCACCAAGCTAGCGCAATGGCTGGACCAGCAAATAGAACTGCTGCACCTGCAGGAATTCCCCCTGCTACTGCTGCAGTCATTCGATTCCCTGAGATTATGAGATCAACACAAAGTTTCCTTAATACTCAAGTAGCAACGCAATTACGTGAAACATTAAAGAGTTTCAAGGAAAGGCTGTTGATTCATCAACCAAGTGGACCGTGTGAGCGTGAAAGACCTAATACATTTTTCAGATCAGAGAGCTTCAAAACGTGTTACCCACAAATTGTCTATGAACTTTAATTTTCTTAGTGTCCATTAATCCTTTTTTGTACTTTGAAAAGATTACTAAAAATCCGTTCTGATCCATTAGCTGGTTATAAATCCTATCCAGTAAAGAAATGTCAAATATATAACAAAATTTAATTTTTTAAGAACGAAATTAGTAATGAAGCTCCCTGTCATATATAAATTCAGAATGAAAAATGTAAATATGTAGAAGGAAATTTGACACTGAAGAATGAAGAAGAACAAGCAAAACACACTGAAGAGAATGAAAGGTACAAAGTGGAAAACCAGAAGGTGAAGGTGGTGGAGGAGAGACAGGAGGAGGAGCAGATGCATAAAGAGCAGTCAAATTATTATTGGTAAAACTGCACATAAATTTCAGACAGTTAGTAACTCATTGTGACCACGGAGCAGTCCATCAAGAATACAACTAGGGACAAGAAAGAAAACCTAATAAGAGTGAAGAGCGAGAAGGAACCTGTAGCATCCATATTCGAGAAAATCTGGAATGATCAAGCCGGACAGGAGGTTGTCCGAAGGAACATGAGTTCAGTCAAGGGAAAAATCCATATGGATGAGAGGTTCTGCCTATAGTCGAGTGATGACTGGGAAATAGTCGAAGGATGGCTGGGCTGGCCGAGTAAGATGAACCATATCCGAGAGAAAAAAATGGTTTAGTCCGAGAGAAAGTGGACTATGTCCACGAGATAGTGGACTATGTCCTGGGACTATGTCCGAGAGAAAGTGGACTATGTCTGGGGACTATGTCCGAGAGAAAGTGGACTATGTCCGAGGAAAAGGGATTTTAGCCGCGTAAAAATGGGCTGGGCCCGTGGGCTGGGATTTTGGTCAGATTAAAACTAATTTCTCGTGTGGATGGTCGAGCGGTTTTTAGGCAATATCCGAGAGAAATCAAAGCTGACCGGGATAAACCTGACTGGAACCGGTAGATGCCGGCTATAACCAGGTTAACTAGGTTTTGCAGCATATAAAAGGGATTTTGAGACTTTTTCTCGAGAAACCCGCATTATTTGGGAGAAATAACGCGTGAGAGAGAGATTAGTCGAGAGAAATCCTATAGTTTTTGATAATCCCGATAGTTAGCTGAGAGAGATCAAAGTTTCGCCAGCCATTCCGACTATCACCGAGAGATCGAGTGTTCTGTCCGAGTTTATGTCAATCTGACACGACCATTAGTTCTGATTTGAGGGTTTTCCGAGGGAAAAACCAAGTTCATCCGTGGAGTTCTGAGCGGATCGAGAGATATCCGGGAGCACTTCGATTCGTCCGAGAGAATCCGGTAAGTGTTCGGATATTCTGATTAGTGCTGAGTTTTCGTAGGGTAACGTCAGACTACTAGTTCTGTTTTGTACTGTTTCCGAGGGAATACAAGATCTTTCCCGAGTAAAAGTGCACGGGTTGAGAGATAGCCGAGAGGTTTTGAGATTTTGCCAGATCAGTTTGAGCGATAGCCGAGAAATCGGAAGTGTGTCGGACTATCTCTATTTCTGGTCGAGAAATCACCGAGTTTCATTCGACTGAAATGTTTGTCTCTGTGTCTAAAGTGAGTGCGTGACTGTGGTCTGTATCTAGAATCGTTTGATTGCTATGTTATCTGATTTTCATTGATTGCTTGTGTAAGTTAGTGAAATGCTTAGCAAAGTCAATGTGTTTCTGTGATTGTGAATGGTTAAGTGTTAACCGTGCTCAATACATGGTGTCTAACTAGCTGTGTGAATGTCCGGATCGAGTTACTAGCTCAAGGGGATGTGTGCTTCTCGTTTAGAGCAGAACCGATGCCTTTTGAGGCTTCACAAGTAGTTGAGATGATCATAGGACCGTACTGTTTTTCTGTGCTTGCTTGGTAGGTGATAATGTGAATTGTATAACTTATAGTATGATGCGTTTTCTGGTACTGGCTAAGGTGTTACGAGATGACCGTATTCACTAAATATTTATCAAATACGTATGCCTCTCTTTTTGAGTGTCCATGTAAAGATAAGGTCCAGGGCGAGTAGCTCTGAAGGTGGACTGGAAGGCAGTGAAGGAAAGGGGTGGATTAGGACCAGGTTTTTGGGATTCATGTTCTGAGTTTGAGATTTTTCAAGTACTTGTGTTAGTGCTTTCTGACTTGAACCGAATCTGATAAGTTAGTTTTTATTGAATCCGAATTCTTTTAAGTGTTTTTGGAATAATTATGCAATAAGAATGAATGTCTTTGATGAATCGAAGTTGTTTAAGTTTAAGAATTTTTTTTAAAAATATGCGTGTTTTTATATTCTTGCCGAGAGAAGACTCGGTGAGGTTCAGACCGGTCTAGTGATAGACGGTCGGGTCCTCACAAAACTATTAACATGAATCTCTCCGATGAGTCGATTGTTTGTGACATCCCTGCGTTTCAGGATGATATAACTTTTGTCATAACTCAAAATTGCACCAACAGATATTTAAAAATGAACAGAAATTCAAGAGAGACAAAGTTACACACACACAACTTGCAGCGAAAGTACAACAGTCAAAGACATTAGAATCTCTCGAGATAAGTTGTTGTTATTAAGACACCTTAAGACATACAGTAGAATATATTAACAGATACACTTTGTTTATTATAACAATTAGAAGAACAGAAATTAGTGTTGTTTTGAAATCCTATCCAAAGAACTTTTGGGGCAATGATTGAAAAATATGTACAATTGGCCTCTGACTATGTCTGCGGCATTTGTACACTGAAGTTCCTAATGATAGGACCTGTCGATAGAGAGACAATAAGGAGCATTGGGTAAAGCCACAGGTCCTAGCAATAGAGAGACTGGTTACACTGTTCTTGAGTGTGAATCACAAGGGTGATCTTTTACTAAAGAATTTGAAATTCTTTTACCACAAATGTGAACAAGGCTGTATCTAACAACCCTCTCATTGAAATATGGACACTATACCGTGACCTTCATTAAGGTCTTGAATGTTATGGGATAGCTAAGTGTGGTTCCTAAGTGAAGAAGGCCAAATGATTTTTGAGTGTGAGAATAACGACCGAGTCAAAGAATAACAGAAGAAATTTCATTTAACTGGAAGAAGGAGAGTTTCCTACATTTATATTTGGCTCCTTTACTTTCTCACTCTTCTAAAGATAACACATACGCCTAGCTTGTTAGGAAAGAAAGACAATCAAATTCTGAAACTGAAACACTGAAGCTGCAAATTAGAGATGTGGAAGAAGAAGGAGAGTATGGAGTCCATACAAGAACCGGAGTTTCTCGAGTTTCCCTAGAGACGACGGGATATGACCGCTTATTTTGTTCATGTAAAGATCCAAGCTCACCAATTCCCTCAAGTCTCCAAGCTCTTCAGGTATTCCTCGAGTAATGTTATTGCTATAAAGCTCCATGTCATCGACCTCTGCTTAATTATATTTTTAACAAGAGTTTCTCTAAAATCTTTTCACCAGAAATCATATTGCAGAATGAATCAAACTATATTTTGTAATTTTCAACACTAAAATAATATTATATTTCTATGACAAATGATTGCGGAAACTATATCTTGTAAGCAATTTAGATCGGAAAACAATTAACAACAAGAACACAATTTCATAATGCCATGGTTCTAGGTCCACATCTGTTCAAACTCAAAGATGATAAAACATAGTAGTCTAGTTAAAATAGGTTGAGAAGCATAGCAATAGAAATGTAAAATAGCATTAACCAATGATTATCAGCAATCAAAAGATTACATTTCAGATGCTTCAGCCACAGGAGCGCAAAGACAATGTTTGACTCCTGAGGAAAATGTATAACTAAAAAGTTCTCCAAACGAAAGTAATGCCAGGATTTTAGCAGATCAGTGAAGATAGATTATAGTTTGAAGCATATGCACAATAAATTAAATTCCTCTATGGATCTTGGAAGTAGAAACTAAGAGATGAAAATACAGAAAAAGTGATGTACTTTGACTTGACATAGAGATGACTTACAAGTACCGCAAGTATAGAAGTTGAGAGATTTGTCCAGAGAGTTGTCCAGAGAGTTGTCCAAAGAGATTTGCATTCTCCAAATCAATGCGCAAACATCAAACAGTAGATTCCCAAGAAACTTGAATCATTCCATTTATAAACCAACACAGAGAGTGACGGAGAGAAAGAGATAAACTTACACACGAACAACTCTGCTCTCAGGATTGCAAGTAACATGAAACCATGTACATGGAGTAAAACTGTTCTGATTATCCCAGCTTTTGAGTACATTGTTCGAATCAGATAAACTGTTTCTCATCGCAGTTAAAGCATCACCTGTAAGGCAAATCCAAATTACAACCCAAAGTGTCACCAGTGAAACAAACAAGACGAAAAGTACAGAATAAATAAGAACCTTCTGAGTTTCCAGCGACTCTGAGAAGCAAATCGAAAAGTATGATTAGCCAAATAAAGCTATGGGGAGGTTCCATTCAACTTCTTAGAGTAAAAGCAAAAGCCGTAGAGCTCTCTCCTTTTATGAGGTTTTTAACGTAGAGTTTCCGAACCATTGATTCAATCTTTGACGAAGGCATTAACAAAGGAGAGAAGAAAGGTTTTCACTTTGTACACGTTTTTCAGGTTTTTGACCAATTTTAGGAAGAAACCAAAAGTAGACTTCTCGACGAAAACGAAAGATTGGAGATTTGCAATCGCTGATCGTTGACCCATCATTATTAGTTAAAGGAAATGAGAAGAATGATGGAAGAAATGGAGAATTTTCTGCTATGGGAAGAAAGCTAACACCTGAAAGTGAATCGCGAGACCCTGCTTCTCGGGTCTAGCCCTACCAAAATCGTAATGTTCCAAGGGCTGCTTGATTGATAGGGGTTTTGATAAGCACGAGCTTACAAAATAGATAAGAAATGGGGATAAGAAGATAGAAGAGTTAGATGAGAAGAGAAAGGAAATAAGGATAAGGAAAGAGATTGATTAATGTTGATCTTTCATAAGAAAAAGAACAATAAACATGGGAACACTGATTAAATACATTGTCTACTACAGTAATACGACTACGCATAACAATTTATTTAAATGTGAAAGCCTCTAATGTGAAGAGAGACTTCCCCTGCTTCTCTTCTTCGACTCTTTAGCCACTTTCTTCACTCTTTTTTTTTTTCCAAGCACAAGCTCTCCTCCCTTTAGTTCTCAACTTCTTCTTCATAAAAGCCAGTGGAATCTCCAGCCTATCAATACTTCCCCCAAGAGAAATAATCTTGTCCTCAAGGTTAGTGTGTGGAAACTGACCTGTCAACTTAGACAGATTTTCCCAAGTAGATTCAAAATCAGGGAAGCCCTTCCATTTGATACGTAACTCAGTTTCTGCCCCCGATGCTGATCTATGCATCAAGGAACTCTTTCGGCTCTGTTTGCCACTCCAAAGCCGAACTTAGGATTGCTGGAAGGTCTTGCGCTAGGTGTTGTGCTGCTATGGCCTTCTTCAGCTGCGAAATGTAGAAGACCGGATGAATGCTACTATGCTTTGGCAATTCCAGCTTGTAGGCTACTCTCCTGATGCGTTCAGCAATCGTTCCTGCGTTGAGACATTAATTTCTGCCTATACGGCCGCAGTTTCAAATACACCGTCTCTCCCACCTTGTATTCCACATCACGACGATGTTTGTTAGTACCTTTCACCATCTTAAGCTGAGCCAATTCGAGATTCTCCCTCAACTCCATCAGCAGGCTATCCCTGTCTTTCAATAATTCTTCCACTTGTGCGTTCGGAGTGGGTGTATCTCCGTATCTCAATAATCTCTGCGGTTCCCTGCCATAAACCAACGAGAAGGGTGTCATTTTTCTTGAGGAATGGTATGAGGTGTTATACCAGTACTCAGCCCACATTAGCCACTGCATCCAGCTCGTTGGTTTTCTTCCACCAAAGCATCTCAAGTATGTCTCTAAACACCTATTTACCACCTCTGTTTGCCCATCAGTTTTAGGGTGGTAGGCTGTGATTTTGTGCAACGCAGAGCCCTGCAATTTGAACAACTCTGACCAGAAGCTGCTAAGGAAGACCTTGTCACGATCGGAAACCAACGTTTCTCGAAACCTTTGGAGCTTAATAACTTCTCTGATGAAGACCTCAGCCACCGTCTTCGCTGTGAAGGGATGTTTAAGTGGAATAAAATGCCCATACTTGCTTAACCTATCCACCACTACCAAGATCACGCTGAATCCCTTGAAAATGGAAAGCCCTTCCACGAAATTGAGACTAATATCCGCCCATATCTGCTTGGAAATCGGCAGTGGGGATAACATCCCTGCTGGAGAAAGTGTAGCGTACTTATTCTCTTGACACACTTGGCATTTTCGGATGAACTCAATGACATCTCTTCTCATACCCCTCTAGGATACCTCTTGAGCCAACCGTTTGTATGTCTTTAGTGCCCCTTCGTGTCCTCCAATTTGACTGGCATGGAATTGCTGAAGTAACTCTAACGTGAGAGGAGACTTTTTGGGGATTTGTAAACAGCCTTGTTTGTACAAAAGCCCTTCTTCCTCGCTGTACTCTGGGTATAGCTTTTCCCCTTTCACGACACTCTTACTTATTATCCCCAAGTCTGAGTCTCCTTTTGTCTGCTCTGCCAGGCGCGCTTTATCCAGGTTTAAGGGAGATACGAGGGTCAGTTGATGAATCTCATCCCCATGAGGTCTCCTAGATAATGTATCGGCCACCTTGTTTTCCACCCCTGGTTTATTCTCAATTCTGTAGTTCAACCCGATTAACGTGGCAGGCCATGTCTATTGAACTGAGGATACTGCCTTCTCCTCCAGCAAGTGTTTCAAGCTCATCCGGTCTGTCTTTATGACAAACTCCTTTCCTGTTAGGTAGTGCTTCCACTTCGACACTGCCTTGACTATTGCCTACAACACTTTCTCATAAACTGATTTCACCCTTCCTGTAGTGGAAAACATGTGACTGAAGAATGCAATGGGCCGCCTTTCCTGAGATAATACAGCTCATATTCCGGCACCAGAAGCATCCGTTTCAATAGTAAAGCAGCGGGAGAAATCAGGTAGCACCAACACAGGTAACATTGTCACGGTGGTCTTCAGTGCCTGAAAGGCTTGCCCCGCGGCTTTGGACCACTTGAATCCCTCTTTCTTGGGAAGCTCTGTGAGTGATCTGGCTATTATACCATAATTCCTTACGAATCTCCTCTAATATCCGGTGAGACCCGGGAAGCCTCGTAGCTGTGTGACCGTCTTGGGTTGAGGCCAACTAAGCATTGCCTCAATCTTTTCTGGATCGGCAGCGACACCTTTTTCTGAGAACCGATGACCCAAATATGATACTTCCGTAGTTCCAAAGTAGCACTTCTTGGTGTTTGCATAGAAGTTGTGCTCTTTCATCACCCACAGAACAGTTTGTAAGTGCTTAAGCTGAGTGGTGATGTTAGTGCTGTAGATGAGGATATCATCAAAGAAGACAAGCACAAACCTCTGGAGATAAGGCCGAAACAAGTCATTCAGCACGCTCTGAAACGTGGAGGGCGGGTTTGCGAGACCAAAAGGCATCACCAAGAACTCGTTGTGCCCTTAATGTGTCTTGAAAGCAGTTTTCTCGATATCACTGCTCTTCATTCTTATTTGGCGATAACCATATTTGAGATCCAGCTTAGAGAAGACCATTGCTCCATTCAACTCGTCTAGTAACTCCTCAATGATGGGGATTGGATAACGATCAGGTATTGTAACTTTGTTAAGCGATCTGTAATCAACACAGAAACGCCACTCTCCATCCTTTTTCTTCACCAAAAGAACTAGACTCGAGTGCGGGCTAATGCTGGGTATGATTATCTGTGCTTCAAGCATCTCTTGCACCAGCTTCTTAATCTTACTATTTTGTATGAAAGAATAGCGATAGGGACGTATGTTGATAGGCCCTGCCCCTTCTTGTAGTGTAATCGCATGTTGCCTGTTCCGAGTAGGGGGAAGGCCTTGAGGCATCTTGAAGACTTCTCCATACTGCTCGAGGATGTTCTGCACCTCTGGACTGTAGTTTTGTCCTTTGGCGGACTCTTCGTTTGAAAATAGCAACGTTAAATCCAGCAAATAGACCTCACCATTCTTACGGATCATCTTCTCGATTGAGTTGAGTGAGATTTGTTCTCGGCTTAGGCTGGGATTGCCCACAATGGTGACCCATAGCTCCCCGATTTTCCAGCTCATGGTACTCCTTAGCCTGTTAATTCTGGTATCCCCCAATGAGGCTAACCGCAAGTATCCCAGCACGACATCAGTAGTTCCCAGCTCAAACACCAGAAACTCCTCCATAATCTCGACCCCATGTATGTCTAAGAGTACTCCGGAACATCTGCCTCTGCCACTGATAATCTGTTCATGAGCCACTCGCACACCAAACCCCTCCTTTACCAATGGCTCGGAGATGAAAATACTGGTGGCTCCAGAATCGATTAGGATAATCACTTCCCTTTCACCAATTTTCTCTTTCATTTTCATCGCCCTGACGGTTGTCAAACCCACCATGGACTGAAGTGAAAGTGTTACGATCTCCTGATGCTCCTCTACTTGTTCGGCTTGCTCAGTGTCCACCTATTCCCTCTCGGTGTTACCATCAGGTTCTCCTTCTTCTGTTAGCTCCAGGCATTTCAGGTTTTGCTTACAGCGATGTCCTGGCACCCATGTCTCACTGCAGTAACCGCAAGGTGTGGGAGCTGGAGTTACATTGTTCCCCACAGGCTTCTTGTTATCCTTAACGTAGTTGAAGCCCACACTTTTGTTGATAACACTTGGGTCACTCCGATGGAAGTAGCTCGTATTCTCTCCCTCCTGAGATTAAATCAACTTCGCTATGTCCATGATATCTGCCATGTTCACGGGTCTGCAACGCACCACTTGGTCTCGGAGATGCTTCTTGAGCCCCCTTAAGAAAGCAGACTCCAACACGTCATCATGCACATGCGGTAACTCCACCGCTAGCGCTTTGAAGCGCTCACGGTATTCTTCCACACTCCCTTTCAGAGATATACAAAACAGATGGTCCACTGAAGAGCATCCCCTATTCTGTTTGAACCAGATTTTGAACCCGTCCGTAAAATCCTTCCAGTGCACGATTTTGTCTCGCTCCTGTGCGCCTTTCCACCAGGTAACTGCTGCCCTCGTAAGGCTGGTCACAGCGTGGTCAAGCTTTCCAGACTCCGAAATTCTATTCATTGTGAGCATTTCTCGATCCTCAAAATCCAATCTTCAGGGTTACTTCCTTCGAACACCGGTAAATCGACACGTTTTGAAGGAGTCTCCGTTGGAACTTGAGAAAGCTCCTGATATTACCATATATTTTGCATATTTTTCATGCATTTAGGATAGTTTTTCATGCATTCATCTTGCACTATAGACTAGTTTCATCCGTTTGTTGCATTATAGGCTAGTTTCATCCTAGGTCTCCTTGCATTCGCATTTTGCATAT